TAAGTCTTATAAAATAGTCTATTGGAATATTTATACATTTTTGACGTTTTGTTAACTTAGTTTTGTTGCAGTGGTAAGAGTCGTCGCCCTCACTTACCGGGTAAGACTCTTGATCTTTGTCTCGCTCTTACCGGGTAAGACTCTTGATCCTTGTCTCGCTCTTACCGAGTAAGATTCTTGGTCCTTACTATATTCATCCCGTGTGGTAATATTACATGGTAAGCGCTTACTCAAGTAAGCGTTTGGTAAACGGCCCCTAACTTTCAGATATATTTTAACAGGTTAATGATTATACAAATCATCAGTCAGAATCCAATGATCAGATGAATTTTGGGTCTTAAAAGAAAGTATGCAACAAATTCGATTCGATTCTATTCAATTTGTAATTTTAGGTACAGAACTAGTACTTAGTACCTACTATCTTTATCGCATAACAAACGTAACATCCGACATTTATATATGACTAGAAGTGTGATAGAATATGAAAGAATAACGTACACTTTAAAGGAAAAACATTATACGTAAGTGCAACCTGGGAAAAAGCTGTTTAACGCAATAAAAGCGTTTTTTACAAAAAAACGTTTTACACATAAATAATAATGCAAAAATGTAAAACTCTGAAGAAAACGAGAAACAATACATCAATATAGAATGATTTATTGATTTGACTGATCTGTTTTTCCAAGCCCACCATGGGCGGTGTCCAATTGGTCTGAGCATCGGCTACAAAGGTCAAAAGTGTCTGGAGGTCCCATGTGTCGAATCCAATGAGAAATAAAAATACTCTTGTGGCCACGGAGGTTCAAATGCGGTGACTCCAGGCTACCTGCGAAACGGCTGCATTACTAGAAAACAAAGTATCAGCGACGAAAAAAAATCCCTCCCTGATTCTACGTAACCCATAACTGTTATGCACTAATGATATGTGGTTAATGTTTCATAATATTATATTATTAGCTAAGGGTTTAAACAAGAACGATGTCGTTTTACGAGAAAATAAGAACATCTGAAACAAACAACCATCACATGTAGTAAATTGGTGATGCACACATGATAGGTAACAAAATCAAGTCGTCTGCACACTATTACGTTCTCATAGAATATCATATATGATGGTTGCATGTTCATATATTTTTGCATTTTCTTAATAAAACAATGTTCTCGCTTGAAACTCCACCGATAATTATCTGAATAAATAATAAGATAAGTATAAATCAAAATTTTAAGTGGGGAATTCCGTCGTCTTTGGTATGCAAATTTCAAGCTGATTGGTTTGAGCTTGGCTTCAAAGGTCAAAAGTATCAGGAGGTCCCAAGTTCAAATCCAATAAGGAATACAAATCTTCATGTGACTACGGAGGTTCAAATGCGGTGACTCCGGGCTATCTGCAAAGCAGGTGTTGTCATGAGATTAGTCGACTTGCATATCGGGTTGAATATCCAGATTAATAAAAAAAATCAAGCTGATACTGTTTTGATATAAAGTTATATGACTATTTTTCAAGAGAAATTGACTGAAGCAGTTAATCTCCCAAATCAAGTTCATTTTTTTATCCATTTTTTAAGCCAAATCCTCATTTTAGCCGGAGTTTACACAAATAGATTATGCATTTGTGTAAAGCCTATTTTCAACCTTCAATTTTTTTTTTCTTTATGCTAATATGGATCCTTAAGCAAATTTGAGGGACACTTTTTTAATCTGAAAACCATTTTACACGAATGCGTTAGACATTTAAGGGTTGTTTGACAGTTATTGAATGATTTGGTGCATAATCATTAAGTGGTCAGAATGATTAAGAGGTTCTCATGATATAGTGCAAAATGAATATATAAATGTTTGGTAATTATTTTCAACAAAATTAGAGGGCTGAATGATTAAGGGGAACCCATGATATAAAATCATTCAGAAAGTTTTAGAACCATTAAGAGACAAATTTTTTTTATCAAACAAGATTCATTTCTTAACAATTCAAATGTTACCTATTAATAGAACTATTAAGAGATAAACAAACAACCATTTACATAAATGCTATCTAAATGGAAATTCAATTAAAAAGTGGTCAAAAAATGAATTTGACCAGAAAGATCGGAGAAATTGACTAGAATAGTCAATTATTACTTTATAACCGCTTTTTAAAGCAAATTCCCAAAATAACCACAGTTTATACAATTGGTTTAGTCAAATTGTGGTTATTTTGGAAATATGCTTTTTAAAAGATGATATAAAGTGAATTCAATTGAACGAGTAGTTACTTTAGTCAATTTCTCGGGAGATTGACCATTTGGTCAATTTCGTTTTTTAATTGCATTTTTTTATATTTTATTTACTAAAATAGTTTTAAATAAAATATAATTAATTACTCCATCTGTTTTAAATTAAATATTTTTATTTTTATTTTTATTTGTTCCAAAATAA